ATGATAAATGATGTAAGTCTGGGTTTTGTTGTGTGTTCTAAGGAAAAAATGCTCTAAATGTGATGTATCCAGTCCAGGGCTCTTACACAATTCCCAGGAAACCGTAGTGCCACAAGACTCATAAATGCTGACCCACAGAACCACATACTCAGCTCCACTGTGATATGATATGTTTTAACAGGTTAATTAAACAAGTAGATGAAAATTCATGGTGAAAAAAGTACACCTGAAACTGCTAGCCGTGCCAGCATGACGACTGCACGTACTGCATCTATAGCAAGGCAGTAATCCAGGGAATTTTGAGTAGGGGTAAAACATGACAGACACACACATAGCAAAGCCGCTAAAGCACAATGGTCATGTTTTTACATCTGTGGCTTGAATTGCAAGCTTACTTAATTTCATCAAGACCAAGCCAGTAAAGGACAAAGATATGAGTTACAGTTCATCTCACATAGGAGTAATCTTGCACAGAGAACAGCTTTTTTGCAGGACCATATGGATTTTCCCATTTAACTAGGGTGTAGGCTGCAGGATTTTTGCAGGCAAAGAGATTTGCAAACTCATTATAGACTGTCCATTATTTGGTCTGCCAGAGTGACTATACATGTAAAGTAAGTTTTCTGATTTTACATAAAACTATAGTAACCAAATTATCCAGAGCCCTTAAAAACATTTGGCTTTGATTCACACTTCCAGTATTTCCTAAAATAAAACTATAGTAACCAAATTATCCAGATAATTGTGGCTTTGATTCACACTTCCAGTATTTCCTAAATACTGTATTTGACATCAGTTAGTGCTACTTTGGAAACGCCAGGATGTTATCACATCCCAGAAAAATAAATACTTGACAAACACTCCTAAAACAAGGAAATTTCTATTTTTATTAAAGATCACAAAGGCTACTCAGGATAATATTATCGCAGCACATACATCTCTCCTATCTACAATTCTCCGCTAGTCTGTCTCTCTACTGGCTCACTAAATAATGCTGTTGTAATCAAGCTCCAAGGAAGTATTAGCCTAACACCATACCCCGTATGAGAAGCAATCCTGACCCGACAGACACACTCAGAATGAACTAAACAACACAATTTGTTTTAATTTGATAGTCTGAGTCATCAATATTTTAGCACCTTTTATCATTTTCCTTGGTGCTTTCATTACAGTGGTAAGAAATAATAAGAGAATTTGCAAACATGGGAACCAAAGCCCTTGAAGTCTAATGAATAAAAAGTTTGCCTTATTATTTCAAAAGCATCTACTTATATTAAAAAAAAAAACTGATTAAAATGGGAGATATTTAAAGTAACGAGCGAGTAAAAAATTAGAAGTGAGACTAGATTGCATGTTCCCTACAGCTTTTTACTAGCAGACTAGATGCGCACCTTAACAAGAAATAATACATACAAATAGATGAGTATAAATCCTATTTATAACGCCTATTTACCTCCATAAATCCTATTAAACTTTGATGCTGAGGAAAACTAACAGTTGTTCACAGCATTGCTATAAAAATTTTTAATCTGGATGTGTATCTCAGTCTTGAATACTAAGAATTCTTTGATTTTTTAAAACTTTTCTTAGAATTGTTTAGAATCATTATCTGGTGAATGAGTGACTTTATACTAACCTTCCTTGGTTATATAATTTAATTTGAATACAAAAGGCACCTACTTACTTGCTGTTACCTTTCTGAAACTCACAGTTCCCATAGGAATAATCAGATGTCAAGCAGTATGGCAGTATACAAAACTACTTTTCTACCCTAAAATATGAAACAATTAAATGTCTCTGCCCCCTCTGAAATCTCATAATTTATCCAACACTGTCAAAGAAACAATCTCACAGTTTACAGATATTCAAAAAGGTAAGTGGGACTTCCTCCAGTGTAGTATCATCTGCCACTGACCAAGTCATTCGAACAGACCTCAAATACCTCTAGACAACCTCTCCAGACATGGTCATTTGTAATGCTTCATAGAATCATAGAATGGTTTGGGTTTGAAGGGACCTTAAAGATCATCTAGTTCCAATCCCCCCTGCCATCAGCAGGGACACCTTCCACTAGACCAGGTTGCTCAAAGCCTCATCTAACCTGACCATGAACACTTCCAGGGAGGGGGCATCCACAACTTCCTTGGGCAACCTGTTCCAGTGTCTGACCACCCTCACAGTGAAGAACTTCTTCCTAATATCTAATCTAAACCTCCCCTCTTTCAGATTAAAGCCATTTCCCCTTGTTCTGTCATTAACTGCCCTTATGAAAACTCCCTCCCCAGCTTTCTTGCAGGCCCCTTCAGGTACTGGAAGGCTGCTATAGAATGTCCCTGGAGCCTTCTCTTTTCCAGGCTGAACAGCCCCAACTCTCTCAGCCTGTCCTCATAGGAGAGGTGCTCCAGCCCTCAGATCATCCTGGTGGCCCTCTTCTGGACTCGTTTCAGTTTGTGGTCTTGCATCATTGTACATCTGTAAACACTGTGAGAAGGAACATAATTTTCTACAGTTTTACAAGTACCTAAGGTTTTTCTGATGAAGACTACAAGATGGTTTAACACAGAGGCAGTCAAGCTAAGCAGGCAGGCAGCAGGCAGCTTAGCAGGGCAATGCAGCCAGCCCACACATGGATTATCTGTCCTGGGACTGTCCTGCAGCTGCGCTCGACACTGGACACAATCTCTGTCAAGGTGCTATCTTTGGCGGATGAGGTGAGAGGGGTAAATTGCATTGCTGAGTACCATCAAAAGAAATGCACCGCAGGGAGGAGTTAACTGCAAGGTAAATATATTCCCACGGTCATCATCCTGACTATGCACAACAGTCCAGCTGCATGACAAGAAAAGGGGTTCAGAAAGGGAGTTGCAGCACAAACCTCTCCTCCAAGGCTAAAAGGAGGTAAGTGGTCAGCCAACTAGGAGAACTGTGTGCCATTTTATTGCTAAATCCTAATACTTGAATTATATTTTTTCATCCATTGATTTAAGAACATGATTAAAAACCCAAATCACATTCGTCTAAACTAATTTTTCCCCCCCTTTATAATAGCTAGCAAAATGTATGTTCAGCGCTCTGTTCTGTTCCTAAGCTCTTCTCACATAACAACGTGGTAAATTCACTCTATAAAGCAACTTATGCTTCTTAAGTACCAAATAAAACCTAGAAAGAAAACAACAGATACCAGAAGGATACCAGAAAATTGATGGAAACTCTTGAAAAGTGATAAAAGAAATCATGGCATTTAAAGAATGAGGAGAAAAAGAATCCAACCATGTGTGCAAACTTAGCACTTCAAAAAATGATTAGTCAGGAGGAACAGAAGTACTCCAAGAGTCCTGACACCAAGAAGCAGTTTAACCACACGTCTCTGACACTATCTCCTGTGCCAGCTGAGAGCCTGATGGGCAGCTGACAGACTCTACCCTGCTTCTTCTTTGTTAACATAGTGATTTTTTTTCTCTCATTTAATCCAAGATCTGCCTGAAGCGAACGAACTCCTCCTTATCTCTTACAGACAGGTAGGGGTAATACAGCTTCTACAGTATATTCATCACATTCTTGTGCATGGGGGTGGAAAAAAAAGACATCACACTGCCTAGATTTGTGATCAGTGAATAGTTTCAGATCCCGCTTGCTGAATTTGCAGGTGATCTGATAACCTCTAAAAGAAAATACCGTATGAAACGAAAACACAGATGTATAATTGTGTCTTGTTCCTTCTGTAGGACTTCTCAGTGTTTTCTCATAGCAGATCTGTACAAAAGGGGCTTGGATTTCACCCAGATGAATCTTATGGAGACTTACATGGAGCACATACCAGTATCTTACTGAGACTTCATGCAGGAAACAAGACTCCTGAATAACAAATTATCTGCTCTCTATCTGAATTAGGTCTGAAAAACCTAATAATAAAAGTTGCCATAAGAACAAGTGGCTTTAGAAGAGTTTGAAAGATGTATGTACGGGCTGTGTTCTGCTTTAAATAGCATTCTGGTTCTGAATAGGTGACCAAAATATTTTTGCTATTTAGGATAGTGCACTATGCTTATTTTTCTTGCTGTGTAATTTTGCAAAGAACACAATTATTGAGCTGAACATTGAATCCTGTCTATTGAACTCATTAAAGATCAACACAGTATCGAATATGCTTAATCCCCTGTGATTTATAAAAATATCAATGTAGCTGACACATAACAACAGTTTTCTTTCTGATAGTTTCTTCTAAATAGAAATGGAAATAGTGACATTAAAACAGCTGGGACCAGAGCCATGCTCATGTTTCTAGGCTGTGCTACGAGGATTAATAAATGTCATTTGAAGTACTACTTAACAATGAAGTAAGCAAGTTGTCCATTAAACATCAGTTAAGATTTACTCACCTATACAATCAAAACAAATTAGAACTTTGCAACTTCCAGATAATCTTTCAAACAACCAATAAGCTACAGAATGGGTGTTGTATTGCTTAATTCCCTGTTTCCTTGACCATCCTTCTGCCAGTCACGATGTGTCAATATTAGATCACCAGGCATTAACCTGGAGCAAACCAAGTAGTTCCCCTCAGAAAATGGCAAAGCACAGATGGCCACACTGGGATTCAAATATCATAGCCTAAAACACAAAGAGTCTGACAGAGGTGGCCATGGCTCACCCCATGGCATGCATTAGACAGCTAGGAGAGGGATACCCTTTGGGTTTCTTTGTAAATGTTCATTGTCTCCTAACCCCGCAATGTGTTTCACTACCAGTTCTTACAATCTGTTCCTCTTCAGGTCCCAGCTCTATAATAAAACTCAATGGGTTTATATCCAGTCAAAACATACACCACTGTTAGGATTTAGGATGTTTACAGTTTTACAGTAAGCAGTCATAGAGTTTACAGTAAATCCTTTCATGTATGGACTGCATTTTAAAATATGTTTGTGAAGTTTCCAGGACCAGGAAGTCACATGCCCAGTGCTAATGCCCTAGTTATAGGAAGAGCTGTGACAAACACCTACCTTTGCAAACAAAGCACTTAATATGGAAATACTTGTTCTGAACTCTCAAAACTTCTCCTTTGCATGGGTTTCCACAGTTATTGCAGAGAATTGCAGTACTTGATGGCTTCTCCAGTTGGCTATGTACAGCCTGTGTTTGTGAAACTGCAAGGGAAAACAAAAGGTAGAGCATTTTAAAGGCCGCCAGATGCATTACTGCAATAAAACCATCTTCTGTAAGATGTACAAATAATGGCAATTAACACCTGGGACAAAATAGGTCAAATGGATCAAACAGTTTTAACTTCTGGTATTGGCCAGCACAATCTGCAAAATCTGCTAAAGGAGCTGAGCCAAACTTCTAATTTCATAACTTTCAAAGCTCACACCTGCAAACATTTCAAACATAAAACAGAATTGCTTATAGAGGAAAGAATCCACATGATAAAGTCTTGAGAGCCTCCACCTGAATTTCAAAAAATGCTTTGTTGTACTTTCTCTTCAAGAAATCAAAGGCTATAGATAAAAGATACTGTTTTTATCCAAAGCACCTTTAATGGGATTTAGTAATTATTACACTGTGAGCTATGAATGTTTAAAGTTCAAGGCAATTACCTTTTTAATTGTTTTTAAGATAGAAATACACTCCTGTAAATATTCTGATTTCATACTTCTGAAACATTGACATCTCTGTAAATACCACATATAACTGATCACTAAAAAAAAGTTGCTGTCATTTTCTAAGAAAATAATTTCAAGAGATTGGTGTATCCAGGTTAGTAAAATATTAAGTGAATTAAAAATTTGCTGCCACCTTGTGATGTAAATTAGAAATTGCATTTATTGGGCTGTTGGTAATAACAATATAAATTGGGATCCCAGTGTGTTAAGTAGAACAGGCGAGATATGACCTTATTCTTGCAATTCTGCTGTGGCATCTGCATCAATTTTTATCGCACTGTACTTAGGAGTCTAGAGAGCAAACACTGCGGCGGGTAACTATAAAGGGGCTGTACTGTACTCAATAGACTTGGCTTTTCTCCTGTGTGAAGAAGAACTAATAACAGGAAAATATATCAAGCATTTTAAGAAAATTACATGCTAAATAACATTCTTCTATAATGGGGCATGTTTATTCTAAGGTTGGATTGCTTACTTCTAAGTAACTGAATTTTTAAAAATTTTAGCTTCAAAATAAACTTACCAACCAACCAGTTAAAATGAAGTAACCTCTCACAGGCCAATACACTAATTATGAATGGTGATGATTCATGTTTCCCTTCAGAGTCTAGTTGAGGGATAATGCCACTTCTGTGTAACCTCTGCCTTTCACCAACATTAAAAAAAAAAAAAAGGAGGGCGGGCGGGGAGTAACTTTTTGTATGAGACTGCTGAGACACAATGGATAAATCTGTAAGAATCAGGGTTAAACTCAGATTGGCCAAGATCTTTAGTTTCTATTCCTATTGGAATATCAAAGTTGCTATTTCAGAAACTAAGCTTCTGAAAGGAAAAACAAAAGGGGGGGGGGAACCCCACAAAATTGATTTTAATTTTAAAAAACCCTAACAGTTACAGTATGGACACTATGAACACACATGATGACAGATGATAGCAAAATCAGTAAGTGGGCATCATGCAGCTCTTGTTCTCCAATATCCAACATTGTTGCTCTTCCTCCTCTATTCTGACCCTCATCCTCACCACCGGAAAGTCGTGGTGATACTCAAAAGGCCTTTCCACATCCACCAACTTTAAGAAGCCAGTATTACAATGAGATGCTGAGACTCCCACCCAGTCTTCCAGGGGAGTTTCTGCAAGTTTTGCCCAAACTGCACTTACTACTCCTGTAAGTAAAGTGGTTTGGATTGGTTTTTTTGTTTGTTTGGGTGTTTTTCCCCATATAGGAGATACATAGGATTGAGCTGCCCATAGCATTATTCACCACCCATGAGCATTCTGCCCGGTCTGCTGACATTACACATTCTGGGACTGTCAAAAAAGTCCTGCTCAAGGCAGTGTGAACTCTGGAGCTATTACTGAAGCCCTGGTTATAATTAAGCACATTTCCAAAAACAACACAGCACGACAAACAATTAGAAGTTTATAGAAAGGCAGATGTCCAGATTTGCACAGAGCAATTAGCACACACGATTCAAGCTAATATGAGGGTCTGACCTATTCCTCAAAAGAAAATAGGGGAAACTCAGAACTTTACAATACTTAACTGTTGACATGAGAATTTCTCTTTACTGTGACCTGCCCAAAACAAATTACTCACCCTAAAAAGAATCAACCCTGTAAGAAACTGAAACAGAGTATTTTCCTGAGTTACTTAGTAGAGTAGCTGCTAAAAGTTTATAACTACAGATAAAGAAGGCTTGCTCCCTCCACAATTACTAACAAGCATCAAATTTGTAGCATTTAATTCATGGACACCTTGACTTAAAAAGAGCTGACCACACCCAGCACATTTTGGCCTAAAATATTACATTTGAAACACAAAATTCTAATTGGAATTATTAAATATATGTCTTTTTTTTTTTTTTTTTTCATGCTTGACTCTTCCCATGGCTAAGGCTTTCTGAGCAGCATCTCTCCGGCAACATCAGCACTTGGCTGGTGCAGAGGCACACAGACAGCTGTGATCCCGTGTCGTGGTACATCCCATGGGCAGGGCAGTAACCTGGCTGAGGAGTCCCAGCCACAATGCAGAGCACAGAATCATAGAATCATTTTGGTTGGAAAAGACCCTTAAGATCATTGAGTTCAATTGTAAACCTAATACTGCCAAGTCCACCTCACATCTTTTAAAGACTTCCAGGGACAGTGACATTTCCCTGGGCAGCCTATTCCAATGCTTGACAACCCTTTCAGTGAAGAAATATTTCCTAATACCCAATCTAAACCTCCCCTGGCACAACCTGAGTCCATTTCCTTTTGTCCCATCACTTGTTACTTAGGAGAAGAGACCAAGACCCACCTCACTACAACCTCCTTTCATGTAGTTGTAGAGAGTGATAACGTCTCCCCTCAGCCTCCTTTTCTCCAGGCTAAACAACCCTAGCTCCCTCAGCTGCTCCTCATAAGACTTGTTCTCCAGACCCTTCATCGGCTTTGTTGCTCTTCTCTGGACACACTCCAGAACCTCAATGTCTTTATTGTAGTGAGGGGCCCAAAACTGAACACAGTACTCAAGGTGTAGCCTCATCAGTGCTGAGTACAGGGGGACAATCATTGCCCTGGTCCTGCTGGCCACACTAATTTCTGATACAAACCAGGATGCCTTTGGCCTTCTTGGCCACCTGGGCACACTGCTGGCTCATATTCAGCCGGCAGTTGGCCAACATCCCCAGGTCCTTTTCCTCTGGACAACTTTACAGCCACTCTTCCCCAAGTCTGCAGCATTGCAGGGGGTTGTTGTGACTCAAGTACAGGACCTGGCATTTGGCTTTGTTGAAACTCATACAATTGGCCTCGGCCCATTGATCCAGCCTGTCCAACATGTGCCAGAGGAATCCAGATGTACCACTGGAGAGCCCCAAGCGCAGCTTTCCACACCAAACATACCAACTTTTCTTAAAGTGAAAATACTGTCATATTTCCAGAGAAAACTTTATCTGTTTGTTTTCTTGAACCTGTGTTGCACTTGTTGCAAAGCAGTAGAAAATTGAAAATGGTTGCCAATTTGTTTTGTGAATTGTGAAACTATTTTGATAATTGTTGCAAAGTGACCGAAAACAGAAAGTTTTGCTTTCCACATTGCATGTGGTGTTCAGTGTCCAGAGCTACAGGGCTGGACTATTTAGTACATATGCTTCTCTTCAGGTCTCAGGATCAAGATTTAGAATTTTAAAACAAGTGGCTCCTCAGCTATAAGATAAATTAAAAAGGAAAAGATGTAGCATTTATGTTGGAATTCTTCCATTAATCCTGAAGTAACAGAAATTATATTTAAAATATGCATGGTACACAGATGAATATTTTTTTTTTTTCCTCTCAGCTCAGAACTGAGCTAATCAATATTTCACACAAAACCCCAGTGTGAATACAGTGCCTTTGGGCTCATTATAAAACTGTGCTTCTGAAGACAGTTTTAAATACTTATTCATTCATCTAGCACAACAAAGTGATGTAATTAATGATATATTAGGTTAAGTTTGACTATTTTAAAATATATTGTGCTTTATGTTGAAATTGCAACTACTGACACAATTTTGGCAAACTGTATTAGTCAACCTAAAATTTTAACTTATGTTTCAAATATTTTTTAAGAAAATTGTCATGTAATTTTAAGGAAAATTACATGGCAATTTTCAGCATTCAACTTTGATGTCTTTATGTATCAAAATCAGTCTTTGAAGCAGCAGAATATATAATCAACATACTTAATGAGTGAAATAGTGAATTACTGATGGAATGTAATGATCTGAGACTACTCATAGGATCATAACTGACTAAAGAGCTCATTAAAAATTAAATGCTTATATTATACCATGATCTGGAGAATTTAACGGAACGAGAAATTTCCTTCTTAACTTTAAATGACTTTTTCTGAACAGAAATACAAATGAACGCCTGATTCTCCAAACTTCCCTTTCTGCCAGACTGCATTTTGCTCTACCCCAGGTATCTCCACCAATCCTTAAACCCTAAAAAGATCTGACTGCACATACTTTTTGACAAGGACAAAAACTGGCAAGAAAGGAACTAGCAAACACTTTCCCCAGCACTTCATCAGCGTACAAGGCCCATCTGCTGGGCACATCACTGCCAATAATCTTGCTAAATGTCCAGTGTTCACGTATTTCTGATGTCAAGAATCAGTCTCACTCCAACAGGTTATACAGTACATAATTCTGTAGTTCTGAATCAAGTAAGGCTTACTGAATTAGCAATGGTTTGTTAAACAAATTGTCGAGTAAGATACATCCCTCAGATTTACTTCTATACTGCTTGCTTGAAACACATGCACTTGCTGTAAGTATTGTGGGGAAAAGAGGACAGTGGTATCACTCGTTACCAACCTTCAGGCAACTGTAAAATTATGTTTCCAGTGTGCTTATAACTTTGCCAAACTTCAACCATTTATATTGACATTCTTCATATTTGCTGTTTTTGAGCTAATTTCTTTAGGGAAAAATTCAGACAAACTGTTTAAGCTTATTATAAAGGTGTAAAGAAAGGACAGGACACAATATTTGCAGTGTTGAAAAGAAAGCATAGCATCTTGTTTTTGGAAGTACTTTGGAGTAAAGGCTGAAGCCTGACAGAGATGGACTTTGTGAAAGGTACACTGGATCCATGAAAATACACGGTATGTGGTCAAAAACATCCCTGTTTGAGTAAACACAGCTCCTTCGGTGTTGCTAGACTAAGTAGGATTTAACAGTAGGGACCAGGATGAGGTGCCAGAGCTGCGGAGATTTGGCTGAGACAAGAATGTTTTGGAAACAGCACCAGACAAGCTGATCATGGTGGCAGAAGTGAGAAGATTCGCTAGTGCCTGGTCATGCTCCACTCTGGAGCCTGGGATGGAAAATGTCACTGTGCTCTCAGCATCTTCTCCCTGCTGTGAGCAAACCACTGAGGGCAATCAAACCCTTAGCAAAAGATCCTGTCTAGGACCGGTTCACACAGAGGATGACAAACCTCTTTGCTATCAGGCTTTGGGTAGCCAAAAGAGAAAAATCTTCATGGTAGATGACAGACCTCATGAAGAAACATATGGCCAGAAACTGCAGAATTCAACACAGTCCTAATGCTTTTTCCACTTTGGTGCTTTTTGGTTTAACTTAACATAAAGACTCATAGAAGCCGTTATTGAGCTTAGAAATCAAGTACTGAAAAGTTACGAATACCCATGCTTAAGAATATAAATTCAATCTTGGATCAAACCTCAAATATGAAACTTAAAATTCTTTCACCTGCTTTTTTCAATATATGGACACAAAAAAGGCCACATATCCCATTTACTCCATATTATTTAACTCCTCTGGTGATTAGAGAAGCCTGGATAAAGGGCCAAATCATACAATTTAATATTACAATCACAGAATCCTGGAATGGTTTGGGTTGGAAGGGACCTTAAAGATCATCTAGTTCCAACCTCCCTGCCATGAGGAGGGACACCTTCCACTCGATCAGGTTGCTCAAAGCCTCATCCAACCTGGCCTTGAACACTTCCAGGGAGGGGGCATCCACAACTTCTCTGGGCAACCTGTGCCAGTATCTGACCACCCTCACAAGAAAGAATTTCTTCCTCATATCTAATCTAAACCTACCCTCTTCCAGTTTGAAGCCATTTCCCCTTGTTCTGTCACTCCCTGCCCTTGTAAAAAGTCCTTCCCCAGCCTTCCCATAGCCCCTTCAGGTACTGGAAGGCCACCATAAGGTCTCCCCAGAGCCTTCTCTTCTCCAGGCTGAACAACCCCAGCTCTCTCAGCCTGTCCTCATAGGAGAGGTGCTCCAGCCCTCACATCATTCTTGTGGCCTTCTCTGGACTCGCTCCAGTAGGTCCATGTTTGTCTTATGCGGGAGGCCCCAGAGCTGGACACAAGGTCTGAGAGGTGCTTTCTGTTCTGTGATATTTCTTATGGACATTTTAAAAAGTACTGTGAACTATACTAAGGTATAATTTAATGGATAGAATATAAATATTTTATTCCTAAATAACAAGTTTTTGTAATCCCCAAAACTATCTCTCAATCCAGGGAAAGTGTTAATTCCTCACCCAGGTTCTTGGATGGATAGTGCAGAACCAGAGCCTAAAGACAATGGTAAAAGGAAAACCAGAGGGCTTCAGGGGGGTCCCTTTCCCTGCTCTTTTTGTGTTTTGTTATGTTTTGGTTTGGTTTTTTTACCCTGTTCTTGAGGTTAGGTTACAAAAGTGCAAGCCTTTCATTTCAGACTCATACAAATATAATATAATTTGCCTTCAACAGCAACCCTCCAACAGCAGAAAAGCTACATTACTTTTTTTTAGCAACTATCCGCACTATTGGCTCCTCTATAAATTCACAAGTAACATCCTTCTCCACAACCCATTACATTCATTTCACGAGATGGAAACATTTTGTTTGAGCAAAAAGGCATTAATATCTAAAATTACCAGTATCAGCTGTTTAGTTCATTAAAATGTTCATTTTTTTCAACAAAGACACAGGCTATATTTCAACTCTGAATGAAAAATGCACAGCTCTGATAACGGGTATTATTCTGCAAGAAGGAATTAGCAGAAAATTATGTCTGACACTGAAACCTTTCATCTCTATAGCTAGAGGTGGTGACTGAAAATCAAAATAAACAAATATGAGACCCAAATGCCTTTACTCACTAAGTATTTGAGAAACAGGACAAAGTATTGACTGCTGAAATGCTGCATCAAGCGATCTGGTGAGGGTGTGGTTCGCAGCAGCCCAGAGGGGAATTAAATTTGCCATCTTCTCTGAGCAGGATTAAAGGAGAAGCCGATGAGCGCAGCAGCACCCGACCGGAATTAGAGACTGGAGTTCAAGTTGATTTTTTGCCAAACCCTTCTTTGTATCACCTTAGTCAAAACACTCAGAGTTGGATTTAAAAACATCGAGATGAAAGCAAAGGAAACAACCATTTAAGTGCCTCTAAATATCCCGTGAAGCATTATTCCCAGTTTTAAGTGCCTAAAGCTGGCCCCCGCTTCTTCCCTGCCTTGTGTCTGTATGTAAAATGCAGAGACTAAGAGTTCTTCCAGTGCTGGTGTGGGGGTAAGGATAAATATAACATAGTAGTAAGTAATACGGTAATACATGCGGTGTTCAGAGAACTACATGGATGTGAGCTATAAATTTACTTTACATAAGGGGCTTTGGTTTCTTTTTTTCTTCCTAAGGACTGGTGATTCATTATGGAGCCTTGTGGGGCCCTGAGACCTCAATGACCCTTTCCATAGAAAGGATGAGAGAAAGAGTGATTGTAAAACAGGGACTCCACAAGCCTTCCCCATCCATCCTTCCAACCACACTCAGCAGCAAGGAAGAGCAATTCCCCAGCCTCAGCCCTGCCCGGCTGGGCACTCTGATAGTCTGGGCACCGGGGCAGAAGGGAGCACAGTGTGCCCAAATGGATGGGCACCAAACCTGCCCGAGCAGCAGATATGTTAGAAACAGTTGTTCTGCAACAGCATTTTAAGTATGTAGCGTTAACATATTTTACCATATTTCTTATCACAGGTAGGCAATTTGTGTTAAAAGCAGTTCCAAACTTGTCTGCATGCTTTACGGTACCTTGTCATTATAAAGCAATGCCTTTTTCTTCCACACATCTGACAACGAAGCAGAAGACCACAAGAATAATGGGAAAGCTAAAGAAGTTTTGCCTTGAATGTCCACATAACATAGTCCCTCAAGCCCTCCAGCTGGCCACAGAGAGGACTGAACTGTCCCCACCCTCCTGCAGCAGCAAAGCCCTATTATTGCTTCTCTCTTCAGTTTCTATACCATAAGACAGGCAATTCAGCAAATTCACTAAATCTTTATGTCAATAGGTCTCTATTTAACTGAACTCATTGACGTAGTTCAAAAATACAAAATAACATTTCAAGAATCATGTTTCTTTTTCAACTCTATACCTGCATCTGTGACTTCGAAACAACCACTTTTAGAGTGCCTTTCCTTCGGCACTAAGGAAAGGATCGCACTCCTTCCCAGCACTTCCTATGGGTCATCATCAAACCAGAAATCTATAGCTGGTACAGAACAGCAGGCAGATAGCACAACCGAAGCAACCTCTGCTTTTACTGCTAATTACAGAGTTTATGGGATTGGAGACGAAAGAGAGCTGTTATTCTTCAGAATGTGAAGTAATACAACCATACATGAGAGCTGCAACACAGCACAAGTACCCAGCACACAGGAGCTCCAGATCTCACCATATGCTCAGTGCAAAATTCACATCACATAAACAAGCCAGGCACAAGCTAACCTCCTGCCCTCATTATTATAATAAAATATTTACCAAATCCAAAGGCAGTTAGTAAAACTCTTCGCTGAATTTTAGGAACTGTAATGTAAAGGCTATTTTTATATGCGTTTAGCAAGATTACAATGAGAAAGGATACAGGAACAGCACTCCAATATATCTGCATAAAGAAATAGATTTTTTTTTTTTTCATTACAAGCTAATATAAAGTCTAAAGTCAATTTAAATTAAATAAAATGGGGAAAGTTTTCAAATTGAGCTGTCAGCTGTCAGTATTATTATAATTTCCAAATCATCATTCATATAATTAAAAGAACATGAAACATAATTTAAAATAAATGTTTAAGCATCTTCCCCCACTCTGCTGCATTTCCAAGTAAACACAGAATAATTATTCTCATGACAGTATCAGTGATTTTGCTATTGCAGTTCCAGATGAAAAACAAGCCATTTCAGGTCTAGACACTCCAAAATGTGGAGTCATGACACTGTACCTGTATCTTCCGGCATTCCCACGTTAATTCCCTTTGTGAGGGGAACTGCCACCAGAAGCACCGCTGCTGCGTAGTCGGCCAGCAGTGAGGAGCTGTGCCGGGGCGGTGGAGGAGCGGGAGTCACGGCAGCGTGCCGGCACCAAGCGCTCCAACTCCAACGCGCCCGGGGTCAGATGACTCCTGCAGCACCCACGTACAGGCGGGAGGAGAGCCAACACCTCGCTCCCGTGTAAAAATAGTGTCCTGCCAAAGCCTACATATCGTCACGTCCACGGGGCAGGCCACCCCTGGCAGGGTCCCAGAGGGACCGGACGCAGGACGTGCCAGCTACGGCTGTCTTTGCATCAGGTGGTGCCACCTTCCATAGCTACTGCAGGGTGGTGCTGGCACCTGGGATAAAAGGCTTCAAGAAAAAAAAACCTGCAAACTGCCTGGCCACAAAATTAACAATACAGGCTGAGGTAGCTGGGAAACCCCTCTAGCCATCCCCCCAGCCCAGGAGGTCCCTTCCCCCAGTGCAGCAGGGCACAGCACTGATTTCAGGAGATGCTGTAAACTTGTCTCCCGAAGGTGGGCAGTAAGATACCTGGCAGCCAAAAATCTCTCCCTGATTGCTCATTTGGAGTTGGACTGTGTATCCCTGGAATAACAGCGATGCATTGAGCTAGTTAAAGCAATGTTTGCTTGCCCAGTTGTCATGTGAATACTGCATGAGGATTAAAATCTGCAGCTCTTACTTGCTTTGGACTGAATTTGTATGAAGGTAGTAACATGGCTTGTGCATTGGAAAGGAGGCTAATGGCTTGGAAAACAAACTGGCTAAACCTGGAGTAAAGTGCTGGGATAGGAACAGGATTGCACCTCACTTTTTCACAATGCAGATTATTTTTTTCCTTGCAAGCTTCACAGAAGCCAAAACACTCTCCCCCCTCCATTGCTCACCGTGCTTTATCCATTTCACTGCCTACTTGGTTACAAAGTAGCAAAGAAACAGCTTTTTCACTTCTTCAGCAAACAGAAATTACTCAGGGGTGTAAATGTGAAAACAAGTCTCTGCAGCTTCTGATGCTGCTGAGGGAGAGCTGTGAAAGCAACACAGCTTGGGTAGCACTGTGCACAAAAAGCACAGTAAATTCACTCCGTTAACGCAGGTTGAAGAATATTTTTGCACTGAATCATATCAAAATCCATCCAACTGATACAATCTGCATCTATGTTGAAGGCTAAATCTCTATTGACTTCAGCAGTCAATGTTGAATCATTTCACAGAAAGTTCAGTACCTTCTAATCTCCATCAGAAAACAAACTATTTTTTTAAACTTGAAATACTGCTTTTTTTCTTCGCTTGAAAAAAAGGGGGGTGGGGGGGGCTTTTTCTGTAGAATAAAGTGCAAGTTTTATGGCTTAGTAAAGCTCTTATGAATTTTTTTTAAGCTCTTACAAGCTCAATATGGATGAATTGTTATAAACACTATATAAAGAGGGGGTGGAAGGCTCTTTCTTTTTTGAAAGAAAAATGTATCAATGCTTCAAAATAATCTATATGCAATTATGATCAAGTTTGAAAATATTTCATAAGAAGCAAGAAACAGCTGATAGTTTGCACATCTTACAGAAATGCCCATCAACTAAAGCAGAAATCAAAGATTTCCCCGAGTTTCAGAATGTTTCCCTTTGGTTTAATACTTACAGAAAATGTCTTTACATTTTGTAATGGATACGAAACAAAACACTGTTTGTACAGTTTTGACTAGTGGAAACAGAACGAGCATTTCTAAAAGGACGGGTGAGGAGCTCTGACTTCAGAAATCCATATGGTGGGCACATCACTGTCCTGGGCCATGCCAGACATGGTCCACAACTTTAAATATCCCCTGGCTGACAAGGCCCGAGACCTGGAGAGCAGATATGAAGAGCTCAGGTCCTGCACATTGAAACAAAATTATAAATTATTCCATTTTTAAAAATTCTTATATATGCACTATCTTGCAGCAACTGACTTTTGGCATTAAAACCTGAGGGCAATATTTTCTTCTGTTCAATACTGTTGTGCTGTCTGTGTGAGGCCAAATCTGTCCCTGCACTCTTTTGGATCATCGTCAGCCACCCTGGCTGAGCTCTCCAGATATTTGCAGTATTTGGCCTACTTAGTTTTTCCCAGCGGCTACTTCAGCTTGGCAGAAACGCAGAAGGCACTTTGCTAAATAGCAATGCTCTGAAGAAACTTTAAATTAATAGGGAGGAAAAGTAAAAGCGCTTTCACTCTAACACAGCCTTTCCCTCTGCTCACCAGGCTTTCTCCTTTTCAAGGCTAAATGCTATATAACCCACATTTTGATGTTATACAATCATAATGCAGTCACGTAGTGTGTTAATTTGTATTTACAATTCTAGGGGTAACCCCTGAGCCTCCCCTGTGGTCTCACCACTTGGCTCCAGCAAAGGAAAAATCACACTTGAAGAGCTCAGAGGGTTTGGATGGTGTTGCTGTGAAACTCCACCACCACTCATGGGCTTCACAGGCACAAAGTATGAGATCATTGCACTTCATTAGTGCCATGGACTGACTTAGGGAGCGTGACAAGAGACAACAGTGACAGCAGCACAGGCGAGACAGTTCAGACATCGCCTGCCAACACTCCTGCTGCAAACGGGCCAGAAAGCAGAACAGCTTTAACCTGATTTCTCAAATCAACACAAGTCAAACACCTGTAACTCCCCTGTTTCAAAGACAGTTACAGCACACTGCTCTTGCTACAGAAAAGGATGAGGCACTTGGCTCCTATTAACAATTTCAAGTGAAGTTCTGGCGGCCACAGCCATGCCCTCACCCATCCTCTGCTTCAGGTTACCTTTCACCAAGGTTACATTACCAAGGTCAACGCCTTGGTCTTTGCAAACAGCAGCCAGACAGCTTAGCAATGAATTTAAGCCATGCTGAAATGGATTAGCTGGCTGCAAACTCTTCAGAGCCTATGGTACCATTGTCTGTAAATGGCATTTTTAAAAGATTTCAGATCCATTCCTACTTAACTCTTTTTTTTTTTTTTTTCCTGTATTCACTTCCCTCTTCCCAGTAAAAGTTAAAGTGAATGTCAGTAGGTGAAGGTGACAGTATATAGTCTAATCTTGCTCCTTTCTCTCATGCTCACAGCACCTTACTAGACCTATTTTGAGCTTTTTCCGTATTTTATCTTTGAAAATATTTAGAAATAATTATTTATTTTATTAATATATCAGAATGTGTGTATGTTTTTCTTCACTATAAAATATTTCTTTCTAATCAAGAATTGTTTTAAAGAATCAGAGATAAAACAACACCTGAGATTCAGAGACTCTGCAATATACTACATGTATGTACCTGTTTGCATACAGCAATTCTCACGCTGCTTGTGATCTGCATATTGGTTAATTTTAGGTTGCCCTGAGTGGACTCAGGAGTTGGACTCAACAATCCTTGTGGGTCCCTTCAAACTCAGGATCTTCTACAACTTTATGATCCTATGTCCCTGGACTTTAAGTCACTCACTATGTTTCTAACTAACTGCATATAGGACTTTAATAGCAAATGGAGACTACAGAGTCCAGTCTCAGTATAGATTAAGAAATTCACTTATCATAAACAATATATAATCAATGAATTTTACTTTGAAAATGCAGGTAAATACAAGAAATCATGATATTTCACATATTTTTCTCAGTATGCTTTAAGATATCTTTTCTTCTAAGTCGCAAAAACTGGTTGTAGTGCTGCTTCATTTTATTTTTGCCTTATAGTGGTTTTGATCCAGGTTAGCGTTTATTTGGATGTTCTGTTGAGGATAACAATCCCAAACAAACAAAAATGCAAGAAAATTAAGTATATCTCTGTATGTAATGGTATAGATTTTGGCAATGCTTTATCACTAGCACAAAAATAGAATTAAGAAACAGATGTTTCCTTTCAATTTTCATAATTTATTAATTGAACTGATGTGTTCCCTAGTGGTTGTGTTCAAATTTGGCTGAATGGTCCTTGCCCTCAAGCATTTATGATCCAAATAAAGAGGACAAACACTTCATAAAAGTGAAAATGAACAGTAAAAGGGTGAAGTTTTAATGAGACAGAGTTGGATAAATGTTACCTCTACAACTAAAACCATGTCTTCCAGCTTTCTGCCCAGCCTCTCTTGCACCAATCCCATCCCTGCTAGGAATGGACTTGAAGAGTCACCCAACCATGCCCTCTGTGACCAGTCACACTCTGCCAAAACCTGTTCTGCTCAGAAAGTTTGAATTTAAACTTTGGGCTCCCAAACACCTCCATCCTCAAGTCCACGCATGAGAAAACGTTTCTCACTGCCTGCACAGCAATGAGCTGTATACATGGGCATCTTTAATTGAAATGCACACACAGGCAAGTCAGAGAAAAATAACAATTTGTGGGCTCTTGTACTACAAGGCACTGAAGTATAAGACACTGACAACGCTGCATAATTATGAAGCAGGAAAACTTAAAATGTGAGATCAGGCTGAGAATCCATTCTGAGCTCTGCATAACGGAGAGCAGGCAGCTGTGCTTGCTCCAGAGGTAACTGGGTCATGAGTCCTTCTCTGTCCCCTGCTATCTCTTGGGAATAAAGAGCTTCCTTCAGCCCTGCAGTTTATGATGACAGCCCTTGTTTGCTGGCCAGCAAGTTGGATGAATGAAACCAGAACTTCTCCCAGTCCCAGCTCCTTCTTCTCAGGGAAGAGCTCTCTACAGCAGACCTAGATTCAGAACAAAGGGTGAGTTATCCCCTTTTACTCCTCCAACTACAATAAAAGCACCATCTAGTATTCTTCAGAAAACTGTACATATGAAATAGTGAGCAGCAATCAAACATAAAGCCTGCAAAGCCTTTAGCAGAGATTTTATAATGGGAAAAAGTGGTATACCACACCCATAAATATGGTGCAAGAAAATCCTTAGAGGACTGAACCCCACCCCCCATTTCATAATGAGGTGACAGAGTACCAGCAAGTCCAGAAAGTGCT